AAAAACAAAAAAAAAAAAAAAAAAAAAAAAGAAATCTGAAGGTTTCTACATGCCGAAGATTAAAATTAGACCCATATCTTGGAAGCCATAAGAAGTCTGCAGGTTTCCTGGTCAGATATAAGCTCCTTCAGGCATGATGGGACTCTCAGTGAAAGGTCAGGAGTGTCTCTCAGTTGTTTAAAAAGCAAGTCTCTTACAATGAGCCTAGAGTAGAATTTCCCGATATGAATTATATGCAAGTGTCTCGTCTGTGGCTGTTATTCCATAAACACTAATGCGTTTCTAATGTAACAAAAGATGCTGACTGTATTAAGGTGTGGCAGCACAATGCCAGGGTCTGCACAATTCAGTGTCTTTCCACTTATGGAGGAGAAGAGCAAAGTTTTCTCGGGATGTTATAAACATTCCAAGGGCTTTTGCCATTGTTCAAATCTTTTCTGGAGCTTTGGAAATGAAACTGCCCTGGAGCTAGCAGTCCCCTCTTTTCACTCTCCTGAAACCTGAAAGATCCCTCTCATATAAAGGTGAAAGTTAGAAGTCATTCAGAATCACATTTGCTAATTTGAGAAACAGAGGTTAAACAAGTTTTGATTTGCACACAGATGTGTGTATATATAGTTTTGATGTATATATGTATGTATATATATACTTAAGTATTTTTATGTGTAATATGAACAGTAATACTTCTATCTTTTGACAGTTCAACTCTTTTGCTCATTCAATAAAGATTTATGGGTACTCATAGCATGCATGCGGGAAATCCTCAAGAACTGCCCTGTGTTGGAAGACTTACTGGAAGACTCACAGGTCTCAGCATATGGTTGTACACATAGCTAAGACTTATCCCAGAGTTGAAGTAAGGAAATACAGTGGTTCACAGGGGAAAAGATAGGTGCATCCTCAGTCTGGATGAGTCTGTCTCTTCTTACATCCTCTTCCTCTCCTGAAGAGTCACACAGAGCACACTCTTCCCCAGCTATGAAAATGCAGCAATGTTTCCTAGCTATCTGCTGAGGAAAGCTTCTTAAGAGACCCAAGGTCACATAGGCAGCTTCTGGTTGGCATATCACCAAAGCTCTGTGGTCACAGAACCAAAGCAGGTTGTCAGATTTGCATAATTTAGGCATAGCAACTCACTCTTACCAGTTAGAAAAAGTTTTATATCAGTGTTGGGAATTGTTTATCACTCAAGTTGCCAAAAGCCAGCCAGTGGCAAACTTCACCAAAAGCCTTTCTAAGGATAGATGTCTGTACTGTTAAATCTTTTCTACTTGCATGACTACTTTTGTAAGCGCTTGTTTATCTGTAACAAAGAGAATGATAATATCTCTAACCTGTGAGGTTTGTGATAGACAGAAATCAAAGAAGGCTAATTATGAAAAGTATATGGAATAGGTCGCCCACTCTCAATGTCAGATTTCTTACAGTGCTGGGTAAGATCCTTCACGATCTGGTTCATTTTAACCCTCTAGCCTCATCTCTTGTCAGCTTTAGTCTAGTTCCTTTAGGACCGTTCTGAGTCCCCACACATAGCACAATGCTTTCTCATCCTAAGCTGCGGTGTATCCAATGCTTTGGTCACTGTTAGCAACTTTTCACCCCTCAGGATGCAACCTTGAGACCTCACCTTCTCTCAAGGCTGCTAGAGGGAGGACTTCTCTGTCCACACCTCCCTTCACAGCCTTTGCCCCTCAGCATCATCAATGCCATGTTACCTGTTTCCCTAGCAGGCTGTAAACTACAGGAGGCGAGCATCCTCACCGATCAGTATTTGTTGAACGAATGAGACCCATTCAGGACTTGCCTGGCTTAATTCAGAATGAACAGCAAAGGACTTTCTACATAAGAAATAGTTCTTAATAAAAGATCATCTTTGATGACAATGTTATCTGTCTTTAGAGATAAAGTCATTCACTTGAAAACCGGCACACAATTGCGCTTAAGATGAAAGAAAAAAAACATTTACTCTCCACTCATAAGGAACCGCTTCACATACACTGTCCAAATGTCTTTCTTTAATGTCTCTTTACTTTTTGCCTGAAGTCTCCATATCTCTACAATGTGTATCTTTCTCTTTCACTTTGGTAGAAACTAAAAAAAGGAAGAGAAAGAAAAACCCCACACACACACACACACAGAGGCAGAGAATCATATAACAGACATGAAAAAGAGAGCATTTTACAGCAGAAACTGGATCTTAGTCTGTAGAACATGACAGGATAAGACAGAACAGAATCAGTGTTACTGCCCCATGCCTAGCTTTGCATATTCAAAGTCAGTCTCCAATTTGCCTTCTAGCTGTGGCTGCGAGCTCTTTCCTCTCCCAACCTGTCCACACTATCCTACTGCTATTCTTCATATTGCTTCATGTGTGGGATATCATGGGTAGCTCAGCACAACATGATCACAAAACAGTGTTACGGGCACAACAGGGGCCACAAGGTGTGAGTCTGTGGCCAGTCACTTCTCCTTTATCTACTAATGCAGATGCTCAGAAGCTGGTGTCTGAGAAAGTGAGATTTCTAAAGCTACCCAAGCATTTCTTTAACTCTGCCAGGTTTGGAAACTATTCCCTGGTAGCTTGACTGGACAGGTGGCACATAAAGCAAGTTGACTAAAAGCGGAGAACAGACTCGCAAGTGTGTAGATCTAGGGCATCAGCCAAGAAATACATCCCTTACATTTATCCACACTGGGCAAACAGACAACAGACCAAATCTAGCCCAGTAACTGACCTACCTTTATGCTACGGTTTGTGTGTTCCCATCAAAAGTCATGTTGAAATTCAGTCCCTGTTGTACACTATTAAATGGGAACTGATTGTGTTAACCTGAGTAAGAAATGGCCAGCTAAACTGGCTCACAACAGTTCTTGGTGCAGTTGAAGGGATTCACTGAAGATCTGCTAGGAGTTACTGGGTGTGAGTGACAACAAGCAGTGGGCTTCCTACCTAAATGGTATAAAAGAGAAATGAAGAAGGCAGGCTTGCTGCTGTTTCTTTGGAGGAGCTCCAGTCTTCACCTTCACTTTAGACAGTGTCTTCTGGCTTCCAGCACAGATTCTTCAGCCTTCCATCACAGACTTTTCTGCCTCCTGGTACAGACTTGCATGAGATGCTACAAGCTCCAGGAGTTTGACTGGATCCTACAGATCTCCCGTGCACAGACAGACCTTTTGCACTTTTCCACACCTGACTCTATAGGTGGACACTGTAAACCTATCTTGTAAATTATTACATATTTGTATCTGCTTCGCTAGTAAGCATTGACAGACACAGATTTTTGTATCAAGAGTAGGGTCATTTCTTTGAGTGGTGCTGGTTTCAGATGCATATAGAATGGAAGAGTTGTGGGGTCAAGAAGGCTTCCACCCAAAAGAAGTTTTGGAAGGCCAGGCCATGTGCCCCTGAGAGGGCAGTGTGTGAAGCTGTGAGTGTGAAGCTGAAGGTTCAGTAGAGACCCCAGAAAGTTGGAGAATCCAGGAACGTGGATCATCTGAAGAAAGCTGGAAGAAGGGGGCAAAACTGGCTCAAGAGAGAAGCCTTGAGAGCTGCAATCACATGCAGGGTCATAAGGGTGGAGCCACTCAACCCTTTGCAGTTCACATCTTGCCACAGATTGTATGGATACTGGATATGAAATGATGGGACTTAATGTTTGCCCGCTGGATTTTGGACTTCCTTTGTATCATTCCTTTCTATCCCCTTATTTGTATCCTTTGGAGTGGGAATTTTTATCTTGTATATATGTCACTGTATGTTGG